AAGCTGCATTCTCTAAGTGGAGTTTTTGTTTGTTCATTTTGTTCATTTGTGGTGCTGGGGATCTAAACCAGGAACTTTCACAATTGTGCATGCCAGGAAAGTGAGTGCGGTACACTGGACTGCATCCCTGTCCCTGTAAGTGAATTTCAAGGAATTGGGAAATCAGTCAAGTGAGTTCTGGAATTCTGGAAATGAATCATTCCCTAAAGTTTCAAAATGGCAAAAGAGATTAGGTGGGTTCTATAAATATTGATGTGCGTTTCCAGGCAAGCCTCTGATGGGTTGTGTGGGAAGCTAGAAGACAAAGTAGGACTCCATGTCCTTGAGACAGAATCAGCTCAGTGGCCTACAAGATGGCTCAGTGGGTAAAGGTGCTTGCTGCTAAGCCTGAGGACTTGAGTTTGATCCCTGGATCCTATATGGTGGAAGGAGAGAAATGACTCCATATGTACACTTGCGTGGGTACACACACACACACACACACACACACACACACACACAAATAATTTTTTTTTAAAGAATGTTTCAAAAACACATCTAGGGGGGCTGGGGAGATGGCTCAGTGGTTAACACTGGTTATTCTTGCAGAAAACCCGGGTTCGAATTCCAGCACCCACATGGCAGCTAACAACTGTCCATAACTCCAGTCCCAGGGGGATCTGACAGCCTCTTCTGACCTCCATGGGCATTGCACAACATAGGTGCACTTACCTACAGGCAGACAATACACACATACACATAAAATAAAAAAAAAAGAAGACACATCTGGGACTAGATTGATTACTTAGGTGAGAAGACCCAGGTTTGATCCTCAACTCACACAAAAAGCTGGGTGTGGTGGCTTATGCTTGTACTCAAAGTGCTCAAGAGGGAGAGACAGGAAGATCCTGGGCTCACTGGCCTAGCCTGATTGGTGAGTTCCAGGCCAATGGGAGACCCAGTGTCAAAAAATAGTGGCTAGCACCTGAGGAGTGATACTTGAGGTTGTCCTTTGACCTACACGCATACACACACACACACACGCATACACACGCACGCACCCACACACACACACACACTGAATTGCGTCAGACTTAGTTCATTGGTTTGGCTGGAGATGTGTCTATAGTGGTACTTGAAACATCCACCATGCTTCAGTGGGGTGCTACAGAAACATTGCTTGGGACATCTTGTGACACAATAGAAGAATACAGGTTGAATGCTAAAATAAGCCCATTGCATCTGAATGGTTTGGAGTTGGGAGCACATTGTTATGTGTGGTACATGCTGTTCAGATCATCTGGACGCCAGTATTGACATGTTTAAATGTGTGCATGGGGGTTGACATGTGTAGCGGGCATCCAGGTGTGGGGAGAGAGTATGTGTACATGTGTGTACTGTGTTGTGTGTCATCTCCCTCTGCTGCTGCTTCTGCTTGGATGGATGACAGGATTTGCCAGACTCTACCTCAGCTGTCAACTTATAAGAGTGGCTGCCTAGTGTGTCACAAAGTAGAGGTCAGAAATTTGTTCAAACTGCAAGACAGATCCAAGTATGGGGCAGGCTTTGGGAAATGATGTGCTGTATTTTGGTTCATGTGAAGAGGGACATGGCCATAGACTGGGATCACCTGTACTCGCCCTCTGCACATGTGTCTTCCTTCTCAGCTGCTCTCCTAAGGAGGTCTGCATCTTCCAGTGACTGACCTTGAGTGCTTTCTCTCCTTTCTCTTCCTTCCCACAGTCAGTTCTGAATGTGATCAGTGAGCTGCAGGAGCAGATGTGTAGGCTGCAGCTGGACATCCACAGGCAGATTCAAGAGCGCCTGTTACTCAGTAGGGACCACCCTGAGGAGGTGGTGGCTGGCGACCATGCGGCTGAGCCCCAGCCCTGCAGCCAGGACTGTGTCCCTTGGGAGCAGTCACCTGTAGGAACCATACTTAAGTATTTCAGAGCATGTGTGTGGGGGATGTCCTGCTGGTGGAGGGCTGGGTGTTTTCTTAACCGGAACCGAGTGCAGTGGCTTTGCATGGATTTGGTGTTACCTTAGGGTGGAACTTGGTCTCATTCATTCCTCCGGTGATATGAGGGACCCTCACCAAGGTGGGTCTGAGCAAGGGAGGGCAGTCCTCAGATGGCACACTCCTTTCCTTTGGTCTAGGAATGAGGTGTGCCACATGTCTTGGGTGGTGGCAGATTTGGGCCAACAGAAAGCTCACGTTTCTCCTTCCCCAGTATATGATCCAGACACTTCTCCTGGACTGGGAGATTAAATGAGGCTTCCTTGTATGTGATTCTTTTTAAGGAAAAAATAGCATCATGGAAAAGATCCCTTCAAATACATGTTTAAAGAGGTTTACCCCCGGGGAGTAAATACAACATGAGTTTCCATTTGTTGTGAACAGTTAAATCATCATCTTAATTTTCAGGGGGAAAAAATGTCCCACAAAATCACAGTGTGGTGATTTCATGACTTTTGGGGATGTGCCAAAGAAGTCACAAGAGCCCAGGCACAGTAGCCTATGCTTTTCCGATTCTGCCATCGGTGGGCATGGTGTCCTCTCAGAACAAATCCAGCAGCCCAGCTGGAGCAAAACAGACTAATTCCTGGTAACTGCTGGGCATTAGAACCCCTCAAGCTGACAGTATTCCTAGGAAATGACTGAATCTCCTGCAAGTCAAAATAGGTGCCTGAGGTCTGGAAGTTCAATGATGAAGATCAAGGTCTCAATCATCTTAGCTTGGAGGACATTTTTTTCACAACAGGTATCAACAAATGCTCATCTCAGTTGTAAGATATTCTTAAAAAATTCTCCTGTAAGAGTCCAATGGAAGCAGTGTTACTTCATGGTAGATTGTCTCAGAATGCACAAGAAATCCAAGCTGGTTAAATAATGGCTTGCATTCCAGCTGATCATTCATCCGCAACTGTGTGCCAGGACCTGCTGGGTAATGATTTTACAAACACTTCCCAGAGTTTAGAGAATAGGAACAGAACTAGCCATTAGCAATTCCACAGGTAAACACTTCAGCTGCAAACTATGTAGGGGAGACATGGGAAGCACCCAGAGGGTCCAACAGAGGGTGTCTGCTTGCTGTGGTATGGAGCTTGGGGAAGCTTCACTTGGTGAGGTCTGAAGGATAGACAGGCGGTAACCTGGTCATGCACTTCAAAGGGAATGACATTTGTAGGCCTAAATTGGGAAGAGGAATTGAAAACTCTGCAGTGTGACGGGTTGGAGCTTAGCTGGGGAGAAAGACTGATGCAAGGAATAGTCATGGAGCCGGGGCAGGCCAGGCTGGTCATGGATTAGAGTTTATATGCTTTGAGAAGCACAGGAGATCATCTGCCATGATCAGATGGGTGTGCTGATGCTACTGCTCCTTTGGATGCTTGGCAGTCAGTGTATTTGGTGGGGCCAAGCCCACAGAGGATCAGTCAATGATGACACTCAGGCTACCAGCACTGGTGGCTAGACCAGAGTCATGGTGGTAGGGAGGGAAATAAAGATGTATTAATAATTTTCTGGGAAGCTGCACTGAAGGTAAATGGAATTGATGACCTTTATGCCAGCTCTTCTGCAGGAAGTCATCACCTGGACCATTAGAAGAATTTTCGTTCAAGACAGTAGTGCTGGCTGGGCACACTGGTGGAACTTGCCTATAATCCTTAGCAATTGGGAGGCAGAGGCAGAAGGATTACAAGTTCAAGGCCAATTTGGGCTATGTAGTGAGTTACAGGCCAGCCTGGGCTATGAGAGTCTATCTCAAAAAAACAAAATGAGCAAAGACATTATTGCTTAATTGTGCCCTCTTTAGTGAGGTAATTAAAAATCAAGGACCATAGATTTCAAAAATTATGGGCTTGAATTCTAATACCACTTACTATCTGCACATACATATCTGAGAAACTTGTTTAAACAATCCTTTCCATTTCAGGAAGCTTCACTGACTTCCTTTCCAGTGGAAGCAGAACTCCTATTCTCATCTTGTAGAATTCGACCTCAGCATCCCAGCTCAGCTCCCACTACATGCTGGCATCCAGCCTCTGCTCCAGCCCAACAGCTTGTGTCCTTTTCTGTCTCCTGTTTTGACTCTTCCTGCACATCCTCCTCGTCTCTTCTTTCTTCCTTCCCCTGAACTAGAGCACTCATATTGGCATCTACACTTGACACTTAGCATTTGTTCTCTGAGAGTTCCATTTCCATCCTGCTGTCTGTGGCTTCGGTGAAGCCTTTGAGGACCGCTGCTCCCCTCCTCTGAGTCCTCCTACTTTCAGCCTAGAGAGAGGCTCCCTGCTTCCTGCTCCTTCATCCATATGACCAGGGAAGAAGTCATCCCCTTTCAGCATCTCTGTTTCTCCCAGCACAGTTTGGACCTGTCTGATCCCCAAACACCTGTGGATGACTTGGGCTTACCCTGCAGAGGATTTGGGTGTCAAAGAAAGGGAAGACAGAATATAAGAGTAAGAGGACAGTTCTGAGTGTCAGGTTGGAGAAAGAGCTCAGTTGGTCAGATGCTAAGCACGAGGATCTGAGTTTGATCCCATAAGTCATGTTTTAAGAAAACAAAATGGACTGGGCAGGATGGTGCACACTTGTAATTCTAGTACTGGGGAGGTGATAACAGGTGGATCCCTGAGACTTGCCTGCCAACCAGCCTAGCCTACTTGACAAATTTCAGACCAATAAGAGAATGAAAATGAGTGGTGCCTGGGGAACAATACCCAAGGTTGTCCTCTGAATGCATGCACACATATATGTACCTGCACACAGATACACACACACACACACACACACACACACACACACACACCAGTTTCTTGTCTCTTAGGTTTAGAACTCCGCGACCTTTATTTTTCAATGGCCACACAGCTCCTGGAACACAGTCCAAAGCCACATTTATGGAACTTGCTGCTGTCACTGCTGCCCCTGGTTTCCTCTGCATGAGCTTTACCAGGTTTGGAGAGCCAGTGTGCACCCTTTAACCATCCAACCTGATCTTTTTCCTTCTTCCCTCCAGGAGTTACTGCAGGAGCTCAAGCACCTGAAAATCAAAGTGGAAGAGTTGGAAAACGAACGGAATCAGTATGAGTGGGAGCTGAAAGCCACTAAGGTAAAGGCAGGTGTGAGGGTCCTGGAGAGGGCATGAGGTGCCGCAAGGAGGATCTGGGTTCAGATGCAGCGTTCCCTGCAGCAGAAGTTTGAAAACGTTCACCAGCCCGATACAGTGGTGCCAAGGCTGTGTGCTAGACAGATCTGATCCAGAAGTCTCTGCTGGGAGCGTCATCTTAAATTCAGAATCCCTTTTATAGGTATTTTTCCAAAAAATAGCCATCCTTTATTTTTTGAAAATGAATGCATTCCTAAGATGATAAAATGGTTGGTTTATTTTCTTAATTCAAATTATTTTTACTAAATTTGCATGCTGGCTGTGCAAAGGACATCAAAAATAAATTCTTTCATGAGATATATTTCTTCCTTTTTTTTTTTTTCTTCCTAGCTGAAGTGGTTTAAAGTAGTGGGTTAACTGGATATAGTGGAGTACACTTGTAATCCCTGCACTCAGGATGCCAAGTGAGGAGAACCATTTGGGGTTTGAGGCCATCCTGGATGACTTAGTGGATTCCAGGCCAGCCTGGGTTACATAGCAAGACTACCTCAGAAAATGACAGTGAAGAAACAAAACCCACAAAATTGCTTAAAATTTTTTGGCTTGCATATTATATTTTAAAATGTCAAATTAGTTGTCATATAAACATTAGGAAACTTCACATTAAATATAATTAAGCTATTTTTAGGGGCGTGGGGTTCTAAAAAATCTATTATTTTGTGTTTGTGTGTATGTATGCACATGCGATTTTTGTGTGCAAGTATGGGCACGCATGGTCTGTGGCAATGTGTAGTGGTCCAGAGGACTCCTGGGGAGCCAGCTTGTTTAGGTTGTGAGGCTTTGTGCTGTTGCCTGCTGAGCCATCTCATTGGCCCAGGAATCTGTTGTTTACAAGAGTCTGTAATATATTTAAAAGTGCTTAGATGAATACCCAAACTCCCAACATACAGTAATGGCTAATACTCAGCAGAAGAAAGTGCTTAGTACCCCAATTCAATCATTAACTTTGTATTCCTGTATCAAAGATCACTGTGTGCTATAGGAGGGACAAATACTGTGGCTCAATAAAACAGGCTTCATTGAGAGGGGCGGGAGAGCTGGTTCAGCAGTTTAGAGTACTTGCTGCTCTTGTAGAGTACTTGAGGGTTCAATTCCCAGCACCCACTTGGCAGCCAACCCCAGTTCCAGGGGATCTGACACCCTCTTCTGGTTTCTACATGCATTGCATGACATGGGTGCGCTTGGAGGTTAAGGAGAAGAAGGAAGCCCTTTAACAAGCCTAGAGCACATTTCTGTTGGAGGAAGCCTAGGGGCCTCCTCAAACAGAAATCATGCTCGAAGTATTGTCTACATTCACAGGTGATACTGGTGATTCATGTAGATATTTCAATGTTCACTTCATTTTAAAATCAATACTTTTGAGGGGCTGAGAAGATGGTTTAATCAATAAAGTGCTTGCAAAGCAGGCTAGAGGATCTGAATTCAATCTCTAATACCCATGTAAAAAGTCAGGCATGGTGACTCACTTCCGTGACCCCCTTTCTGGGGAGGCAGAGACAGGTGGATTCCTGGGGCTTACTGGCCAGCCAGCCTAGTCCATTTGTGTCCCAGGTCTCAGTGAAAGGTTGACAGCTCCTGAGGAACAACATCCAAGGTTGTCCTGTGGTCTGGACATCCACAGATACAGGGACATGCTACTACACATACAGGAACATACATAGGGCACACGACCCACATATATAGGAACACATGTACACAGAGAACAAGCACCCACACACAGGAATGCACACATGTGAACACATACATAGAGGAACATGATCACACATGAACACAGTGCACACACACATAGGAACATATTTACATTTGAACAAATATATTGAACACATACTCAAATGCTTTTTATATTTTGGTCAGAATTTTTATAACTTTATTTGTACTTTCATTTTGCCTAGAGTTATTTATTAATCATTAAAAGAAAAATAGTTCATTAGAGAGATTTTCAAAAGCAGGTTCCAGCCAGGGCTACATAGTGAGATCTGTCTTGAGAAACAAATAAATAAAAAGCACTCAAACCACCTAGGCACTATTATCATTATTAATATTTCCTTCCAGGTGATTTTCTTTCTTTATGATTCTCCTTCCTCTCCTCTCCCTCCCTCCCTCCCTGCTTTTTTCCCTCCTTCTCTCCCTCCCTTCCCCCCTTTTCCTCCTTCCCTCCCTCCCTCCTCCCATTTCCCTCCCTCCCTCCCTCCCTCCCTCCCTCCGTTTCTGGTGTTGACAGTTAGTATATCATTATATTATGCTCTTTTTCCATTTAAAATTTTGTGATTTCCTAAGTTATTAAAAGAAAAGTGCGAAACATGTTGTTAAAATACCGATATAACAGTGTTCTAATGTACAAATATAAAATATTTTCCTTAACTATTTTAGAGCTGATAGAATGGAGGCACGGATGATTAAGTGATTCTCTTAGGCCTCACAGCTAGTTAGCGGTTGGCCCCATCTGTCCTGGCTGCTGTTGTCTGAGTACAGACAGCCCTGAGTGTGCTGTGCTTTATCGTCACCCATTCTAGCAGTGTTTTTTCCAGTAGCTCAAAACTTTCCACTATGATGCTGTGCTCAAGCAAGTCCAGCCTTGGTGAAACCTTTGAAGTTGTACACACCACTCTTTGTTATACAACCAAGTAACTCTTTCCCTTTTAATTCGCCCAAGCTCTGCCTTGGCAAGTGGACCTGTTAGATGACAAGGTTCTTTAATGACTACCAGGTGTGGAGTGCCTCCTGCCAGGCCATGCCTACCCCTTTGCACATTTTCCTCATTTAAGTCATAAAATAATGCAGTAGGTGTGTTTGATTCTGATTTTGCTGGTAAGAAACTCACAGTTCCTAAGGTCAGGTTGTTCCCAGATCTGCCCTTCCCTGTGTTTTCCCGGCATTAGCAGATTCCCCGTAGTGAAATCCTCCATTGTGTTTGCAAGTTTTTAAGTTTTCTGCTGAGCCCTCTCAGACCCTAAAGGTGGTTCATCGTTCATTGTAGCAGCAGTAGAGCTTGTCCCCTGAACTTAGTGAGACTCAGCCCTGTAGGGACACAGTGTGCATTTCTGCCCTGAAGGGACCTAGACACACATCCCTACTTTACTGCCAGACTTATATCTTGGACCTCTGGCCACAGCTCTGGCTTCTGTGGCCAAAGCAGCAGTTTCCCTCATATTTTAAGGGCTTCCCACCAAGCGGTGAGGTACCACTCTAAGATAGCAGAACATATATAGTTTTGTTCTATTCTGTTGTAATCATTAGCACAGTAAAGATTGGGTCAAGTGTGGGATCTATAGTACATGCATGAATGATTTCATGCAGAGGCCAGTCTGAAGAAGAGGCTTCTGAGTGCCAATTACTGAGCTCTGTCTCAGTAGATCCGTGTCACTGAAGTCCACCTGTGGGACCAACAGATAAGCATCAGCATTGGATTTCTAACAGAGACCACTCTGTCCACAAAGAAAGAGAAGTGTGCAAGGAGACATGCAAAAAAAGCTCAGAGATTATTTTGTAAGAAGAGTCTGACCCTTGTGGAGCTGAAATGCATTTGGGTTGAGAATCCCAAGGCTAAGGTTTTCAGAAACCACTGGTACCATTATCCATAAGCCAGTGGACATTTAGGTCTTGAGTGACAGGTGCAAAGCTGACCATGGCTGCTTGCCTTGGTAAACTGAATGGACTAGCCAGACTCAGCTCTTTGACTCTCCCAGAGGAGAGGGACAGGGTTCCACAGAGAACTTTTTGGTAAGGAAATCTGACCTTGTGTCTGCTTTTTTTCCCCTTACATCTCTGTCCCATTTAGAGGATTTTAGGAAGATTTATTCAGAACCCTTGAGGAGGTCTGAAGGATGCCAAGCCCTGTAAGTGTGGCTCCCATCCGCCCTGTTAACCCAGCAGCAAGCAGCCTGGAGTACCTGGAGTTCTGCACTGGAGTAGGCAGGCTGGGTATGAAGAGCTCTGCATTCGATCAAGCAGGCTGGGTGTGTGAAAGCCTGCATGAGAGATGGCTAGGTGGGTGGGAGGAGTTCTATATTGGAACAGGGAGGCAGGCTGGCTGATTGATGTTCTGTGATGGAGCAGGGAACTGGGATGTGAGGCGGTCTGCATTGGAGCAGGCAGGCTGGGTAGGATGGAGCAGGCAGGCAGGGTGGCTGGAATGCTGTGTTAGGGCAGAGAAGTTAGAGTGGCTGGAGCTCTGCATTGCAACAGGCAGTCTGCATAAGTGGCAGTCTATATTAGAGCACGGTGTCTGGGCTTGGCATCCTGGCCTGGTCACTGAGTAGCTGACTTTACATGGAATCATGGGCTGTTTGTTTTCTCCTGGTATTTTCAGGAATATTCCTTTCTCCTGTGAGTTCTTGTGGGGATTTCATGAGATTTGAAAGTAGTAAGCGTAGTGGCAGATGCAGGGTGGATGCTCAGGGTGCTGACACTGAACACAAGACTTGGCAGGCAGAGTCACCAACAGAGCCAGTGTTTAGATGGTTACGTGCAGCTGTTCAGATACACTTGGGCCTACTCCAGACTTTGAGGGGCAGGGTTGGAACGTTATTAGGGTTCTACATGGTGGGGAGTGGCCATGGTAGAAGCCTTTAATATGTGTTTCATTGTTCAGCAATCAATTCTGGTCTGACGCTTAGAACTGAGCTAATTATTTATAAGGGAATGAACCAACGAAAGAGCTGTAATTATGATAGCAGCATATATTGGGCATATAATGTGTGCTAAGTATTAGACCTAATTTCTCATGACCATTATATTACTTAGTCCTCACTCCAGCCCCTGAGATGAGACTCAGGAAGGTTAACTTGATAAGGCCATCCAACCAGGACATGAGAATCTAGATATTCTTGACTCCAAAGATCCTCTTGGACTGAGACAGACATAGATCGTCTACTGAGTGGAAAGCATGGATAATCACATGCAGTGCAGTGTGTGCAAGGTAACCTGTTTGCATAGTGGAGACACGGGAACCATCCAGTAGCACTGCTATTGTGTGTACATATGTGAATGTGTGTGTATTGTGTACTATGCCTACCTGCTTTCTCCTCCAGGGGGAAAAATGTATATATGCTAAACACACACCCAAATGCTTGTATGTATACATATGGGCAAGTATGGACCTATGCCTGGAGGTTGAGCAGAAGCTAAGGAGGGAGTCCTCAGCTCACATTCTGTCAGCCAGTACTGATTTGATTTCCATTCTACTTCCCTATGGAAAGATGAAACTGCATGCAGGTGTCATAGTAGCATATCTTAGTGAGTAAGGAAGACACATCCAAAATAAGGACATCCAACTTTTTCATCAAAGACAGAGCCTTCCCGGTGCATACAGGCTTAGTTCCTCTGGCCTCAGAAGTCCCTGGGTCACACAGTGCAGGAGAGAGAAAGAGCCTGGCAGATAGGAGGATGTCGAAGGAGCAAGATGATGGCGGGAGAGTGAATTCATTAAGTGCATTTCTGCTGTGGGAAGGCAGAGAGCCTCTCTAACTCCTTACCTGTGCCCTTTACTTCGCATGTATCTTAGGCCCAGTGTGTGCCAGGCTCTGATGTGAGGTGCTTTGTCTATGGGCTGGAAGTCCCTCTGAGCTGGTAGGGATTCTTTGTTGCTTTTTCAGGCTGAGGTAGCCCAGCTGCAAGAGCAGGTGGCCCTGAAAGATGCAGAAATTGAGCGTCTTCACAGCCAACTCTCCCGGGGTGCAGCTCTCCACAGTGACCACACAGAGAAAGGTAACTAAATTGACTGTGACAGAACACAGTTGTCCTGGGCCCTGGACCTACTCTCATAAGGGGACATGTATATCTGAATGAATGTTGCCTATGCTTGTATATGTAGGTGTGCACATGCATGCATCTGTGTGTATGAGCATGCTCAAGTAAATGAGTGTGTGTGTATGTGTGTGCGTGCGTGCATGGCCATGAAGATGAGCTCTGTTATGGGGTCATTGCTATACCCCCTCCCTTATCCAGAACACTCAGCTCTGAAGGCTTTTCTCATCTGTGTTAATTGAGGCTCGGTGCAGCCCCCTCTGGAGCTTTTTCTGAGAATGTTGAAAATGCCTGACTCTTTCATTGGATTGGAAGGCCTTGATTCAGTGTTATCACCAAAGAGGAGGCTTAGCAGTTCATCCTGTCTGACACTTGTACAAGGTCCTGAGGTTATAGAAGCAAATCAATTCTTTCTCATCCTTGATATCTCAGCTTAAATGTCATTTCTCAGAAAGATCTTTCCTGGCCACCCCAGCTCCAGGAGGTAAGTCTGGTGCTATTCTCTAGTCTAGCAGCCTTCTTCTCCCCTTCATGGCTCATACTATGATGGAGCGCTGTTGTATTCTGGGAGGTCTTGGGGCCATCCTACTCTCAAACAGGGACTTCATCTTTCCTCAGAGCCCAGCACAACGTTCAGCCCATCCTAGACTGTAGTCATTGAATAAAAGAAAGGCTGCCGTGTGGTCCCTGGGGAGTTCAAGTATTGCTGATTAAAAACAATAAATCTTCAGACACTCTTCTTAACACATATAATATATTTATGGCCATTTGCCGTGCATACAGAATAATCCCACACCTCCCAGCTCCTCGACTTCTCGCCTGGCTGCCGAGCCATGTCAATCCTATGGCTTAGTGCCACTGTCTAGCTTTGTCTTGTCCTCAGTATGCCATGCTTGATCCCCACGTGGAGTGTGGATGCTCTGTAGCCTCGCAACAGTGGCTGAACTTGAAAAAGAAATTGGTGACCAACAGGCTCATCCGTCCCTAGCCTTTCATCAGTCTCCTTCCCATGAGTATGTTGTCACCTGTGCTGAGGTTGACTGGTGCTCCAACTTTACCAGTCTTTTTCTGGAAGCACCTTCAACATGATGAACTGAGTTGGCAGAGCTGATTTGGTACCATGAACCCAAGTCTCCACTTCTGAGAATGAATTCCCATAACTGTTCACACAAAGTCCATGTATCTCCTGATGTTTCTTATTGAATATCACAAAGGACACAGGATGCCTATACATGGGTTCCCTTGTCTCTTGTATTTTTCTTATGCACACATCTCCATCCTTGTTATTTATCTCAATTTAGGATTAAGTGTAAGCTTTTCTCTGGAATATCCAGGACTATGCTAATTCCTAAACCTCTGAGTACATGGCAAATGACCCCTGCCTTCTTCAGGGATTGGCCCTGGACCTGACTCTTCAGGTCTGTTTGAGAAAAAGGCAAGTGAGTCCATGTTGAGTCTAAAGTGAGAGGGAGCCATGGCTTTTCTACCATAGACTAACACGGAGTCCTTTGTATCTCTTAGAAGATGGCATTGCTTTCCCTTAACCATGATGTTTGTTTAGATATATTTATTAGTGAATCTAAATACTTCTTTTTTTATATTTTATTTGTTTTGTGTGTGCGTGCATGCGTGTGTGCGGGTGTGCAGGTGTCCGTATGCCACAGTATATGTGTGGAGGTCAGAGGACAGCCTGTGGGAGTTGGTTCTCTCCTTCTACCATGTATGCCCTACCATGTATGTCCTCAGGTCATCCGGCTTAGCACTGAGTATCTTTACCTACTGAGCCATCTTGGAGCCTCCCTGACTCCTAAGTTTTTTCTTTTGTTTTTGGGTTGAACCTATGACCTTGCACATGGAAAGTGTATTACTGTACTACTGAACTGTAGCTATTGCTTTTTTTTTTTTTTTTTTACTTTTTGTTTTGAGATAGAGACTTAATAGGTTGCCCAGGTAGGACTTAAATCTGCTGTCTTCCTGCCTGAATAGCTGGGGTTATGGGCCCGACACTCCATTTCTCTAGTCATAGAACATTTTAAAGACTGTAGTTTAACCACCTGCCAAACTCTTTTCAGCCCTCAGTCTTCATTTAGCTGTATTTTTGTTTGTTTGTTTTTATGATTTTTCTCTGCTTCTAGCTTTTCAGAGTGTTTGATCTTTCCCCAGACTAGTCAGCAGGCTAGGTATTTGCCTACATAGAAAGTCTGTGTTTGGGCCAGGTGTGGTAGTGCACACATTTAGTCCCAACACTTAGAAACAGGCAGGTGGATCTCTCTGTGTTCTAGGCTAAGGCCAGGGCCACATAGTGAAACTCTGACTCAGAGAGAGAGAGAGAGAGAGAGAGAGAGAGAGAGAGAGAGAGGTGTCTGTGTTCTTAGAGATGTTTGGGAAAGATTTTTGATTCCTTTGTGTCTCCCTTGAGTAAGTGACATTTTTTATTTTGCCCCTTAGAAAGAGAAGACAAAAACACTAGGCTTGTTTAATGAATAAATCCAACAAATGTCTCATGAGATAGACTCTGTGCCAGTCATTATCCCAGGTTCTTTAACATAAACACAAAACAAAAGAAAAACAAACAGCTGGGCATAGTGGCACGTGCATTTAATCCCAGCACTCGGGAGGCAGAGGCAGGTGGATCTCTGTGAGTTCCAGGCCAGCCTGGTCTACATAGTGAGTTCTAGGCCAGCTGGGGCTATTGGGAGACCCTGTTTCAAAAAGACTCCCCCCCATCTTTATTATTATTATTATTATTATTATTATTATTGTTGTGTGTGTGTGTGTGTGTATGAGAGAGAGAGAGAGAGAGAGAGAAAAAGAGCCACTTTCACATACAAGTCTTCAAGTTTGAATGTGGGTCATTTCCATATGTGAATATCTGTCTGCATTTGTATAAACAATCCTTTCTGTACCTCAATTCTCTTAGACCAAGAAATCCACCGTCTGAAAGTGGGGATGGAAACACTGCTTGTTGCCAATGAAGACAAGGTGAGACAGTCATTGTGTGACCCCATCCTTTACCAGAGGGTGTCTCCAGCTCTGGTTTCTTCTGATCTCTGCTCTCCTGGACAGTGCCATACATATCAGACCATCAATAAGATGGGTCAGGAGAACAGCTTTCGCTGCCAGAGACTCAGCACCTGTTTTTCACTTTGATGTCTGGGAACTTTGCCTAAATAGAATCTCCCAAAGGCAGCTTAGAGCCCTTGCCTGTTCCCGGCGGTGTAGGGAAAGACACCCCCGTGCCATTGACAGTTATAAAGCTCCTGCCTAGATTCCTAGTGAAACTCAGGAATGGCCCACCATGTTGGTCTACCAGTCCTCAAATCTATCTCTTGTGGTAGAACCATCATAGAGACACTTGTAGCAAGCAGTGCCTCAGTTTACCCTGCTGCTTTATAATCCTCATAATTTCTGCATAACCATAAAATAACCACATCTGTGAATAGAAAAGTTCCTAGCTAGTAGAAGCTGAGAACCCCAGCCCCATGTTTTATGACTGAGGAAACGCACTCAAAATGTTTGGATAATTTTGCACAGGGTCTTGTGGGTAGCAGACCCAGGATTCACTCCAGGATCTGTGTAACCTCCCACATCCCTAGACTGTAGTCTTGGAAGAATGGATCCTCTCTAGGAATTTCTTCTGTATAAGGAAACAGGTGAGGATATTTGGATTAAGTCTTTTTTGTGTAGCTCCTCAGGGCAACATTGGATTGAGAGTCTGAAATTTCCCCTCAGTGTGTCCTAAGTGAGATCAACCAGGGACCAGTGGTGGCATTCATTTAGATCTGTTCTTGCATCATGGCAGGACCGTCGGATAGAAGAGCTTACGGGGCTGTTGAACCAGTACAGAAGAGTGAAGGAGATTGTGATGGCAGCTCAGGGTAAGACAGGGGAGCTCCCCATTTCTCTTGAAAGATCCTTCACTACTGCGTCTGATCCAAGGGCAATTCTGCCAGCAAATTTGTTGCCTCCTTTGGAGAAGATGCTCTGCTGGAGAATGGGTCTGTGTGTAGACTTCCCTCCCAGATGGTACAAAATAGTAGCTGGTGATTTCTAGAAATTTTATCAAATGGCAGTCAGATCAGAACTTCTAGGGGCTGCTTGAGAAAATAAAAGTATTCAGCATTAGCTCTGGGGAATCCTTCCTATTAGACGGTCTCTGATCCATCTTCTCAGGAGCCCTCTTAGAGGCAGCAACAGGAGTCAAACTGGGTCAGCCAGGTTCCTCTCATGGACATTAGAGCTTGTCCTGTTCTTGCAGGAGCTGGAGGTCTCCGAGGACTCTAAGGCATTTAGGGACTTCCATGAGTTGCCAGGTACCTGGATTGCCACTGGAAGTCACCGGACAGGGAGAGCCATGTGTTTCATATTTGCTGCCCAGACCATTTCAGTATGTAATCAGCATGTGTGTTTGTATGCGCATAGTGGTGCACACACCAGGCTCCCTGCCTTGTCACTCATGCCATGGATCTGGCTCCCATTGCAGATCCCACAGGAGCAGTTGTTTCACATAAGAGGGTTGTCTGAAGGGATGTCTGATTCTGGCTGAGCTACAGAGTCTTCTTGGAAAGAAACCAGGGCTATTGCTGGGATTGGAGCTGACTGGTTCATGCCAGGCCCCACACAGATGTTCCAACCTACTTTTCTCTAATCCTTTCTGATGTTAGGCCAAGTCACTCCTGGGGCATGATTGTCCATGGCCAAGAGATAAGGAGGTTGGCATCAGGGGGTGCCTTGTGTTCCAATGATGAACTTTGACCTAGAAGTGACCTTCATGGCAGCCTTTGCTGGGATGCCCTGAAGACTCTTCCCAATCACATTGTTATGATCTTCTTATATATTAATCACCTTTCTTATTTCTCTGATCAAATACCTGAAAAGAAACCACCTAGAGAGGGAAAATTTATTTTGGGTCTCAGTTTGAAGGTACAGTTCATCATGGTGGAAAAGGCGTGGCAGAGCTTACCACACTGACAGGAGCTATAGCTGTGACTCCTTATATTTTGGAGATGAGGAGGTGGGGAGAGATTGGAATGAGACTGAACTATAACGTTACCCTGAGGCTTATCACCCAGCCAGCACCTATCTTCTCCAGTGAGGTGCCACCTCCTAAAGGTCTCACAGCCTCCCCAAACAGCACCACCAGCTGGGACCAAACACATGAGCCTGTGAGGGGTATTTCCTACCCAAACCATCACACTTTATGTATGTCTTGGTCTTTTTTGCTCTTGAGCCAGGTTCTCAGTACATTGCCCAGGCTAGAGTCAAACTCCTGAGCTCAAGTTATCTTCATGTTTCTTAATGAAGACAAACACTATTAGTGTTTTGTGGTGTAATTAGTTTATAAATAGTTCACGCAATAGTGATTTGTCACCTTTGTACTAATGTTTCCAGGGCCTTCAGAGAGAACTCTTTCAATCAATGAAGAAGAACTTGAGGGAAGCGTCAGAAAGTGGAACGCCACAAGTAAAAGCCCTGAAGAACTATTAAAACAAGAGGTGCTCTGCTTCCTCCCATGAAGTGGGGTTCAGCCACCCTGGGAACTTGCCCTTGACCTAGAGGAGGATAGGGTCAACCACCTGTGTAGCTTTCACCTTAACTGATGAATACGTCAGTCCAAGGAATGGCCCTCAAGTTTGGAAGAGGGTGTAGGGACGCAAGGGCCCAATCACAGGCCTCTGTCCTGCTAGGGATGGCCTAGTAGCCACTGGGACTTTCAAGTGCAGGTTTTCCCTTTGAATTGGGTTCCTGTTTATCTTTCCTCTCTGGAGTGTAAGTGCCGAGCAAAGGTGGTGCTTGTTTTTTTTCCACGGTTTCTCCAGGGGCTGCAGTGGTGACTGACACCTGGTTGACTTCAACAAGCATTTGTTGAATGAGCGAGTGCACTTTGTTCACTTAGAGAGATGCGGACACCTGAGGCAGTACATTCCTGCCTCTCAGTTTCCTTCAGCCCCTATAACCACATTTTCCTTCTCTTTGGTCTAAAATATCATTGTACTAGAACTAGGCTAAATACAAATGAATAAAAATATCATAAAAATCTTGGGTTATAGGAGAGGCTGTACCAGGGGCCAGAAAAGTCATGAGATTCTAGAAAGATCAAACTGAAAATGATTTTTAGCAGTCAAGCTTAATTCTTTTATGTAATGAAGGAGCAAGTGTCATCCAGTGACTTCATTATTGAGTCAAAGAAAGCCCACTGAATTGCTGAGCAGTACTCAGGACCAGCTCGGCACCCATGTGTAGTTGCAGATTTGGTCAACACTGTTCATGTCTCACCTCTCACTCCTGGAAACACCCCATATAGGCTCTCTTTCTATTGCAAAAAAGCTGAGGTTCAGAGAGGATATGTAATATGCTCTAGGTCATACTGAAAATGGATTGTACAACCTAGACTTGAACCCAGGTCTGTCTGACCAGCAAGGCTTTTAATAATTGTGCTATTATGCTACAGTTTTTCTGTAGTAAGCCATAAAGATTGGGCTTGAGGGCAAAGAGGAGGTCTCTGTGATCATTGCAACAGTGAAGACAGGACTGTGTTTTTGGACCATCATCACTTTGTCTCATGCTCACCCTCCTGAGACGCTATTTCCTTTCTTACCTTGCTAGTGAGCCTGCTGCCATTTCTCAAGGTTCAGCGCCAGTGTTCTTCCCTCTGAAGACATGCTGAAATCTACCCAGTGAGAGGGAGCCCCTTTCTCCCCTCTTCCCATAGTATGTTACAGGTGTTAGCGTTACAGAGAGGTGGCATGGTTCCTTTGTCCTGAATTTCTAATCTACCTTGTGGATATAAGTTATGCTTTCTTCCTTCCTAAGACAGAGCTGGCAGGCAGATGTCGAGGTCTGCTAAGTAATCACATCATTAGGGCCCTCTCATTGAGAGCAACAGAATTTGATTCGGCTCACCTAAGCCAAAAGGGAATATTTGGGGTAGGGTATGAAGTGACCCAGTGAATGAAAGGAAAAGATAAGAGCCAAGCAAAGACTGGGCAGAAGCAACAAAAACTTCCGGGGTCCTGGTGGCAGGGGGAGAAGAGGGGCATGCTTCTGGAAACCCAAAGTCATATCTAAGATCTGGAGCTTAGGGAAGAAAGGTGATTTGACCTGAGTGGCTTGATATAACTGTTTTCTTTCAAAAAGAGCATAGGCATACTGTAACCTGATCCCTGATGAAGGCATCTTGAAATAACAAGGTATTCATGTTGATGTGTCCATCATGGCTGTAGCTAGGGACAGAAATGTCACTCTCAGAGGAGTCATTCCATGAAAGGGAAGGAAAGGCTGGTCCCCAGATGGTAACTGTTCTCCATGGTGACTCTTCTGTTTTTGATGCAGATGCCTCAGCGATGCAGCTCTCCCACTGTGGGGCCACCTCCTTTGCCACAGAAATCTCTGGAGACCAGGTGGGAAAACTGAGTCTCTCTAGAGCCTCTGACCTCTCAGGTCCCTCTTGGGGCTCCCAGGGTGAACAGTAACTGGGAAGGTTGGAGAGCACAGCCAAGTAGCTGGGTACCATGTCAAGCCAGTTGCTCCTGGCTACAGAGGGGTTTCCCTCCCACAGACTGAGTCACTGTCATTGAGGGAAGACCTAGCTAGAGGACTCACTGACTACAACTCCATGCCCTCCAGTGGCTCCTTGATGCTGAGAGTACCCCATGACATGTGTCTGTCAGTCCCATCAGCCCCTCTGAATGTTCACACTGGTCTTGGGGTTAATCTAGTCCTTTGATCACCCAGGCTTTGTGGGCAGGGGAATCATTTCTCATCGGGGGGTGATCCAGTTGCTCTGATGACAGCATGCGTATAGCACTATTATAGCTTCAGTGTCACTGGCCTCCACCTGCCTGCTTCCCTTTACAGTTAACCCATTTCTAGATCCATTTGTTAGCTCTTCTGATTACCCTCCAAGGTGGGCCACTCTTGTCTTATATGTTGGCTACTAGGAGAGGATGCTTTTCCTTCCTGACCTTTGTTTTAAGCCCATGACAAACTTCTGATTAAGTATTTAAAATATTCTTTCACGTTTCCAAGTTTATCTTTGTGTGAGGGAAATATGGAGGCTTTGCCACCATGCACAGACTCTTTTTGACTACAATGTTGTGGGAAGCTAGCTACATGCATGACAGAAGCTTTCTGGGGATAGTGCTGACTCTCCAGTGTCTGTACTCAGAGTTTAGTGCCCAGGAAATAGTTGTTCCCCAGTGGCATTAATGCCAGACAAAAAGGCCACTATCAAAGAGGATGATTGTCCCATCATAAGTTTAGCTGAGTAAGAATTAAAGTTTATGAGTTTGCTCAGGTGAAATCAACTGGGAGGCATTCCCACTGACAAGACTTACCAGAGACTAATTTATAAATAGGTGCTGATTTATTTCTATTAACTGGGAGAGATGATTGTCAAAGAGACTTGACCCAAGGTTACCCTTGTGCCCACTGATAACACTGCCCCTTTTCTCTCTGTTTGGTGCCCCTATGGAAACATAGTTCCTCAGAATTGACTGCTCAGGGCAGGTAGAGCTAGAATGGAGGGTTGGAGGATCGTAGAAGGTGATGCTTCAGGCTGTGGCTGGGTGGTGTGCTTGACTCCTCTGGAAAGAGATGCCAGCAGCTTCTTCCCCAGAGTACTTTGTGACTTACAAACAAGGCAGCATGTGTTCTTTTCCTCCCCCTTGACTCTGCAGACATCAGGCTTCCTCAGGAGCACACAGTAGTGATTCTTACCAGTACTACAGCCACCAGGCCCGCACTAACACACAGTCGAGCCAGGCTGTTCCCCGAGGTGGCTAGCTTCATCTCGTATACATTGATCACTGTGAGGGTGATTCCCCTCTGACTTTTACTCTAAGCCTGAGACAGACAGCTGGTTAAGCATTTAAAGTGTCCTCTGACCAAATGATGCCAAGCATCTCCTGTACTCACTCCTTCTTTGTTTCCTTTCTTTTGTGTTTATCCAGGGCTCAGAAGAAACTCTCCTGTAGTCTAGAAGACCTGAGAGGTGAATCTGGAGATAAGGTCAGCTTATTGGTGTGCTGTGCTGATTACTAAGTTACGCCTTTAGGCCCAGCTTAGTGCTGGGATATGCCGCTCTGGCCTGATCCTGCCTTGGAGCGGTGCTCATACAGTTGAAGCAGAGAGACAGAATTACACTCATATTTTGAGAAAACCAATTGAGTGTGGCCCAACCCTCCCAGAGGTGGCGGGATGAGCCTGTAATTGCTGGCTGGAGTTGGAGAAGGGCTGAGGTGGGCTCAGGCAAGTTTGGGGAAAAGGTGGGGGGAGGAGGCAATAAGGTCAGAGCCATGCACCACATCAGGCCAGAGAAGGTCTTGGCTATTGTACTGACTTTGTCTCTCCAGGGCACTTGGGATCACTGTAGGGATTCTAAATGAAGGAGTAATGTGGCTGAAGGGGACAATGTCAGGCATACAGCCTGGGGTAATCTAGAAGATTAGAGAGGAAACTGAAAAGATCTAGCAAGGTCTGGGGAGGGCTTTGTGGTCCCCTGTATGAGAGTGGCTTTGACTATGTGGGTGGCCCTGTGTGGGAGGGAACAATAGAAGGCTTTGAGCTCAGTGATGACAGCACAGTCCTGCCCTTATGGAGCTTCAAGTGAGCCATACTTCATACTATGCCCTGGTCTCCAGCAGAGTGCCACCCTCCCTGGTGACAACAGTAGACATTCTAAGCCAAGAGTTGGCAGGAGCTATGGGCTCAGCTCTGGCTGTGGTCCTCTAGCCACATGCCTCTGACTCTGCTGGTCAGACTGCTGAATGCTCAGTTAGATGATTAGACAGTGGCCCGTTTGCTGCTGCAGGAGTTGATCATCTTACAGGAAGATGCGGGGGACCAGGGTTCTTAGATCTGGGCCAGCCAGGTGTAAGCAGGCAGGTGTCTTAAGTTGCAGCTAACACATATTTCTTTTTTTCCACATGATTGAAATACTTCTTGTCACTCTGTAGCGTGTCGATGGGAAGCAGCTGTCCCCAGTGGTAGAGCCCAAGGTACATTAACTTCATGTCGCTCTCACTTGTTCATGATCAACTGTTTGCTAAAGTGTTTTAGCAAGTCACAGCTTTTATAGCCTTAAAATATGTTAACTGTAAGAGTCAGGAAGGAATGAGGGAAGGTGAAACATCTTTATTTTTATGTGCTACACATGCATAATGCGTTTTCTCTACTGTTATCTGTGGGATGTGATTTATCAGCTCCTCTGTTTCATAGACTCCGAGAAACTGATCTTTAACAATGCCGTCTAGACAGCCTCAGGATGGAAGGTGCTATGATTTCTGTACATAGAGGGGGGAGGCAACTCTCTCCTTCTGTGCTGATATGTCATGGTTAAAAACATAGCTGTATACCCAGTCTCCCTTCAATGAACAAATCATCTTATAAAAACTCCATTAGAACTGATTTTCTCCCAGAAGCCTGTTATGAGATTAAGTTTCTATCCTGGTGCACAAATGTTGAGCCCATAATCAACTGGTTTTGTATAATTAGCATGTCAGCCCCACCCAACCACCACTTATAACATCTTATGGAAGGACGTGTTGTACATGTGTCCCTCTTTCTCCTCTGTCTCCCAGAGGAGACATGGGGCCTCACTACATGTGGCCTGAAAGAGCTGTCTTATATTTTCACAGCCCTGAGAAAGAATTGGGCATCTCTGCTCTTCTACAGCAGTGTAAGTGGAAGAGACCTCATTTGCACCTTTGTGTCTTGGCATGGGCCTTCCTTACATGTCTGTGTTTATAGCAGTTGATTCTGTGATTAAGCAGCCATTCCTCAGGCCATCAGGATTGTTGAGCAAATGTCATCTACCTGCTGCCCTGTCCTGGTGCTTTGAACACACAGTCCCTTGTGTTCTGTGGCCTTTTAACAAGTCAAAAGTCTTCCTGTAAGACTGTTCCTGTGAGCTCTGGGGCTCAGCCATCATCCTTCCAGTTCCTAGCCTCAGAGAAGCCATTCACACTCATCTCTAAATAACAGCTATAAGTGGCCACCTACTCCTTTGGGCACACAGCTGGCTCACCACTCAAGTTTTAAGATACCGTCAGTTACCATGAAAGATGAGTAATGTGGGACTGCTTACAAAGAGCACATATTCCAGGCTGAAGCTAGTTCTCACAGGCCTTTGCTCATAATTAGTCTTGTGAAAGCTCAGTTAGTTCAACATGGCAACCTGTTTCCTACACACAGACACCACTCTCCTCCTCGGCACCACTCCATAGGTGCAGTCATTTCCCAGAGCACCCCCTTACTTGCTGCCTTTACTTAAGCGGAGCCTTGCTATGACTGAGAGATCTATGGCAAGCCGGCCTTGTGTCTTTTTTGAGCTCTGTTAGGTATGTCTCTTGAGTTCCCCAGATTGTACATCCTCTGATCTGGTCTCCTGTGATATGAGTCAGTCTCTCCTATTGTAGAATCAAGTCTCTTCAGCCCTCTGTGAGTGCTCTGTTCTTAGGCTGAACATTGTCTTCCTGTGTACGTGCATCAACAGCCTTTAAAGTATTCATTTTTAATGAGTTCTTAAAACTGTTCCCTGAGCCAGACAGTCCTGACATTCTAGGTGTACCTTGTCCTGTGTCGTCTTTGATCTGGGGTCGCTCCTCTTAATCGCTGTCCCCCTAGGACCTGGCCTGTGATGCTTTCTGGGTTTCTGTTTATCTGCTGAATGCTGTGTGCTGTGTGCCCTGTGCATGTTTTTTCACAGCAAGCCCAAGAAAGGATTGTTATTCCTGCTTTTAGAAATGACAAAACTGAGGTTTTAAGAAGATGAGAAAGAGCTTTGCCTGAATCTGAATCGGTCTGCCCCAGAGCTCCACTCCCTCCCCTTTGGCAGGTTACATTGCTAGTCAGTGTCAAAGCAGCAGGGGATTAGCAACTTTGGGTAGCTGGTCCTCACCTTAGCCTTGTTGAAGCAGGCTCTATCTTGTTGTGTCTGCTGCTCCCTTGTTCATTTAGGCTAGCTGACCTTCAAGCTTCTGGGTGATGCTTGTGTCTCCACCTTCTGCCTTGCCATAGGAGTGCTAAGATTACAGATGCACACCACCACATCCAGCTTTTCAACTTGAGCTCTAGTAATAGATCTCAGATCATCAGGCTTGTGTGGCTAGCAGTTTCACCTGCAGCACCATCTCCCTAGCCCACTAGTCTCTAAACATTTGGAAACTCCTTTACCATGGTCAGCAGTTCCCAAGTCTGATTGTGTATCACAGCAATCTAAGCCACTTGTTAAAAATGCAGACTCCTAGGGTGGATGGCCTTTCAGTCGGGCTGATTCATAGGGCCAGGGAGGAAACTGGGAGTTGAGGTCTTTGATAGTGCCACAGGTGAGTAAGCAGCAGCCACCAATGGATGAGCTAGCACTGGGGACACTGCTGGGCTGGTCCACATGTCTGATCATGTCTGACCTCTGCTCCACAGGTCACCACAAGCTTGAAGATTGCATGAGCTTCATCTTTCGAGGTTCTGATGGACCAGGATTCTTTAACATCTAGTCTTCTCTCTCTAGTTTCTTCCTTCTGGACTCATTCATAGGGGGCTTTTCTCAGTGTGTAATGAATGAACTGAATTTAATTCAGTTCTGGGACAGATAAAAGCCAAAAGAATTCAGAAATGTGTTGGATACTTGACTTTAAGATGACGAAAGCTTCAGAAGCTACCTCAGGCATGGCAGCCTCCCAGCGTTGCTCTGACTTTTCTCATATGGCTTTCCTTCTGGGTCCAGTCACATGGTCCATGGTTGAGCTGCTCGGTGAGGTCTCAGTTTCTCTTTGATTCTCCCCAAATGCATCCTATTCTGTTTTCCTCAGCTTTGCAGATTTAGTGACCATTACATACTTCTTGGCCACATAAGTGCTAATCTTTCTCTTATTTTTTAATTTTATTTATTTTTATTTTATGTGTATGAGTGTATTGCCTGCTATATGAATATTTCAACGGCATTTTCTTAAAATATTTTATTTATCATTTTTATTTTATGTGTATGTGTGTATTGCCTGCGTGTAGGTAAGTGCGCCCATGTCGTGCAATGCCTGCGGAGGTCAGAAGAGACTGTCGGATCCCCTGGAACTGAAATTACGGACAGTTGTTAGCTGCCATGTGGGTGCTGGGATTTGAACCCAGGTCTTCTGCAAGAACAGTCAATGTTCTTAACCGCTGAGCCATCTGTCCAGCCCCCCCCCCCGGCCTTTCTCTTTTAATCAGCCTGCTTCATTGGGACTCTTTGGCTAGGGTCCAACCACAGGGTCTGTTGCATTGAAACTGTAACTTGAAGAGAATGAACCTAAGTTCCTTGAGGAGCTGTTGGCCTGTAGCCTCCCCTTGGGCCTGTTTCCTGTAGTTATCGTGGCCCCAGATGTATGCATAGCTTCTTGCTTTGTCTTAACATGGTATTCACGAAAGAACTATTTTAACAATCCGGACTTTTCCTTCTGCTGCTCAAATTCAGACTCTTACACCTTTGCTGTATCATGTTAGTCAAGAGCCACATGATCTGTGCTCCTGCCCATGCCCTTGCAGAGATCTGTTTGAGAGTCCTACATAGCAAAAGCCTCTCTCTCCTGACCACAGGAAAGCAAGATTGAGGACAGGGAGGAGCCCAGACTGGATTGCCTGGTTTCCTCTCCTTCAGGAGTGACAGAAACACTAGGTAGCAGATCATGGCTTGTGCTTTTGAGGAGCTCAGGGAGCAATTCATGGCTCTGAATTCTTTGAGCCACTAACGTGGAACAAATGGCACAAGCCTCCTTCTTGAGATGCAGTTGTCATCATCCCTAGGTTTGGGCTTGACACTATCTCTGTGTCACTGTGCAGGAAAATCCTTCCTTTTCCCAGAACTCTGGTCCCCTTTCCTAGACTTGGAGAAGTGATCTTTGAAGGGTCTTTGAAAAGCTAAGTGAAAAAAATGACTCTTGGAGAAAGGGAATTGTTTGTATATAGGATTTTCTAGCGGGCTTGAGAATGAATCTGAGGGTTAATTTGGCATCTCTACCCTGCCCCCCTCTCCCCAATAGGACAGCTCTTTCCTGGTAGAGCAGAAATACCCTACATTACCTGGGAAGCTACCAGGAGCCACGCCCAATGGAGAAGCTGCCAAATCTCCTCCCACTGCCTCCCAGCCTGACTCTGCAGACAGCAGCCTACTAAGGCTGAGTGAGTATCCACCCCCTTGGGCTGGTGGCCTTGGGAACAGCATCCTTGGCACTTGCAATCACTGCAGCAGCTGTGACTGCAGCCCATAGTTAAGAATGGTGGGGGTTGTTCCTGGAGCATTTTGTGGCCTAAAGTGGTCCCACTTTTAAAGGTGCCCTGCTTGGGTTAGCTGCTTCCTAAATTTCTGCACCTTTGTTCTCCCTCTTCATCCATGCCCCCTCTCTTGAATCCCTGCCTGTTGTCCCCCCACTTCCCCTCCACCACCGTTTCTCTTTTCCCTACCTCTTAGACATCTCCTTCCACTCTTCCTCTGTCCTTCCTCTGTCATCCTGGCCTTCTCTCTAGCTCTGCCTTGTCTGCAGCTTCTGTTAGGAGCTGCCTGGCGGCATGCATTCTCCCAAGTCAGAGCATTTCCTCAGGCAGGTGGAGTGGGGAGCAGCAGATTTGCTGGGCCCAGGAGGTGCTCACAGAGTTCTCCCTGCCTACCCCTAACTCCTCCTCCTCCAGGCTGTTCCCAGATCCAGCTCAGGTGTTGGTTCATGAAAGCCAGTTCTTCCCTTGGCTGCAGAAATCCAGAAAAGTCCTTAAATGACTGTGTCATGACACTCAGGCTGCTTTGGGTCATTCTCATGTGAACCTGGCACCTGTACAGGGGCTGGAAGTAGCTCGTGTCCACCCCCTGCTGATGACCCTTCCTCTCCCTGCCTGTGGACACCTCAGCCTGTGAGGAAGTGGCACATGGAGCATGTGGCTCCTCACCTGATGCTTCTCTCAGCAGCGAGCTAGCCCTGTGGGCTAACTTCGATCAATACTCCCACCTACCCCGTCCTTCATGGTATTGTTTTTCTTTCTGTTTATTTTTCTCTTTTGCTCGATGACTCTCTTGTTTATTTTTTTTTGCTTCCCTGTTACTGTTGGGCTGGACTTTGGCCTCTCTTGCTTCTTCATGTGGCTTCTCTGCTTCTGGGTTGCTGGAGATCGTGCCTGGAGTGTCAGTGCCCCCGTATTAGGTACTGTGTCCGTTCCAGGTGAGGTGGAGTGTGAGAATGCCTTTGTTTTTCCCTTTCTGATGCCCTATCTGCATTCCTGAGTCTCCCTCTGATTAAAGAGTAAGCGCCTTGTCAGAACGATCCACAAGTGCTTGGACCCCAAGGTCTTAGAATCTGAAGACATTAAGTCACCCACATTCAAAACGCTGAGCTGACTAGTTGCTTAGTGAGAGAGCTTGGGGTGTGCTGAGCTCTGTTGGTTTCTGGGATCGTGGTGTGGTGCTCTATCCTGAAGGCAACACTGGGAAGAATGTTCTGGACTCTGATAGAAGGATAGCCTAGATGCAGGACTAGGGTCCAAAGCTCACCTCTCACTCTCATTCACATGCCCTTTCATCCTGCCTACCTCAGGAGAAACAGAAAGTGTCTGGGAAGATACCGTTGTGGCCAATGAGCTCTCATCTACTTCATCGGGTACGGAGTCAAGCCCCCAGTCTCCCCTGACACCAGATGGCAAACGAAGCCCCAAAGGCATCAAGAAATTCTGGGGAAAGTAAGTTGGTAGTGATGGTCATAGTCATGTGCTGAGAATTAATTTTCTTCCTGACCAGGCAGAGTCTGTGTAAGTCCTTGCTTTGTCACACCTTAGAGCAGCTGTGGAAACAAAGTAGTTAACGTTCAAAGAGTCGAATATGAGTCACTTTTCAGGACCTGGAGAATACGTGTGATTAGTACCCAGTAAGTGCAGCCAGTTGCCTTCTGTGTCCTTAATCCAGGCTTATCCTTCCCACACACCTAGCTCCCATTCTCTGCAGTTTGGGCTTCTGGAGAGCACAGACGAGACTGGAGTCCCTTTCTTAGGAGACAGTCTGTATCTCTTAAAATCTTTAAAGACCCAAAGTTGAGTACTTACTAGTCCAACTGATTAAGTCTGGATGGAGGCAGAAGCTGGAGCCTCCTGAGAGACACCAGCCTTCACTTTGATCCTGTGGGGAGTGGCTCAAATCCCAAAGGCAGGTTTAGAATTGAACCTTTTTTTTTTAAATTTATTATTTTTATTTTATGTGTATGTGTGTATTGCCTGCATGTATGTGAGTGCACCCGTGTCGTGCAATGCCACGGAGGT